TAAGTATTATAAGTTATAAATCTAGGCTTACGTTAGAGATTTTTTAAGTTTACTTTTAGAGTCTTTTTAATATAGTAACACATTATTATATAATTACGTAATTACGTAATTACTTAATTTAAATAAGTACGCTATAGACTTTATTTCTTAGGTCTAGAGAGAATATTACTTATTATAAAAGTAATACTTAGCTACTTAGCTACTATAACTCTAACTAAGCTAGTTATTTTAATACTTATTACTTTACTATAAAATATATCTTTACTTTTACTAAAGAACTAGTATTATAGTCTTTAGATATTTAAAAAGTTACTACTCTTTTTATATATAAAGCTAAATATATAGCTTTTTCTAAAATAGTTAAAAAAGTATTATAAGTTAAAGAATTTATAAATAACTTATATATAAGTCTTTATTTTAATAATATTTTTATTTATATTAATAATACGTTTACTATTAAGCTATTAAAGAATTTTAAGTTTTATTAATATAGTAAATATATTAATATTTATTACTATTTTCTTTATAAATATATTTATAATAGTAATATTACTATTATATAAATTAGTAGTAAAGTAAATTTAGCTAATATACTTATAAAAGTGTTAAACTCTATTACGTTTAATACTATTTATAGTACTTTAAGTATCTTTTATTACGTAGATAGTATATATTTTAAGTTAAAATTTAGAAAAGCTATTAGTTAAGTATTTATATATATAATCTACTTATTTACTATATATTTACTTACTAGCGTTACCTCTCTACTATATATACTAGAGGTTTCTCTCTCTATATAGATTATTAATACATTGTACACTCCTCTCTGTTCTACAATACCCAGGGCTACCGCAGCTCGCCCTACGGCGCGTCACTAAGGAACAACGCCGGGCGGGGTAAAGGCCCCGGGTCTTTCGACGTACAACGCGAATACATCAACGAGCAATCTCCAGACGCCGAGTCCGCGCGCAGGAACCCTCTGCACAGTTACTTCATTCAAACCGGGAAGCACAGGGGGAACACACTAGCGCACATCAGTCGCTTCGACGAACAGTACCTTGGATGGATATCCAGCGATTGCTGCAGAAACCTACCACGCGATCACATCATCCGGAGAGCCATCGACCAGTGGAACGCAGAACGCAGAGCTAGTGGAGCGTTGCCTCCTGTTTCCAGCGCTCCATTGCGATTCAAGAGTGGCAAGTACCATCTCTACATGCAAGAGAAGTACCTCAGGAAGTGGTGGAAGGTCACGGCTCAGGAACTCATCGACGCTGGTGTCGAATACAAGGTCAACGAGAATACAAAGACAAAGGCGAAGAAGTTCTCGCTGTACCAGGTCTACGAATATGTCAAGAAACATAATAAGCTTGACAGGGAAGAGCTCGAAGCTGTGGTTGAGGACGAGAAAGACCGCATAAACAGGGCAAGGACGACGTACACGAGTTACCAGAACGGTGATTTCGCCGGCGGCGGTATTGATTACGACGACTGCCCCTGGTGGTGAGATCATGTATTACAGGTAAGCGGTGTGCCCTCCACCAAACGGGAGCCAAACTGACTGCAATGCAGGAAACAACGTGTGGGAGATTGTTCTTGCCAAGATGGCTGATACCCGATGCAACAGGAGTTCTTCACTTTCATCAGATAAACTTTGTAATACCAGACAATTTGGAACCTGCTTCTCTGCCGAAAAATATGAAGAATCAATTCATTAGGTAGTAATAAAACGCCGTGTACCTTGGGTATCGAACTCCACAAACCGCTAAAGGTCGCTCAACAAAGATCCGGCTGGGGCACGCCGAACAACCACACCATGCCCCAAAGTCGTACGCTCCTCTCGTCCATTCGTGTCATAAGTGCTTGGTCAGTGGCCCGCTTGACCGCCTCGCGCTCGGAGAACAGGCTCAGAAAAGCATGAGGTCGCGCAGGTACAGGGACTCTGTCATCCACCTTTGTCTCCGCTAAAGGGTGCTCGGAAAGGGAACGTTGACGAAGTTCATTGGCACTCATATGTGGTGCATCGGCAAGTGTCCACCAAAAGAGTCTGCTCAAGGGTGTCTGACCTTCATACAAGGCTGCATCGAAGTCGTCTTCATCGGCAACAGAAGACTGGATAAACTTCAGGTATGTCTGCAAAACCCGTAGCACATCGTTTGCGCGGCAATCCCCTAGCTGGTCGTTGTCTTTCCAGATACGCGACGAGTGGTAGGGGTGGGACACTTCTCGTATGTTGCCCAAGTCGCCGATTGCCCAGTGGGACTCGTCTTGAACAAAGATGTTCGCCGGCTTAATGTCATCGTGACAGTAGCCTGCACGGTGCAAAGTTCCCAGATACTCAAGTAGTTGGTTGAAGGCTGGCCGATAGCGTCCATCAACCTGACTATAAGCCATAGGCGTTTCTTCCGACGACAGTTTGTTGGCAAGGGAACGAAGATTGCCGCCTTTGAGCAGGGGAGTGACAAGGTGCCACTCGGCCGGTTCGCCAGGCGTTGTAGAAGCCATGAAATGTGCTCTCACGGGAAGGAAGCCGTTTTTCGTCGCGTTCGCATCGTCGGCAGCGGCACCCCCAAATTGTAGTGATGCGGGTATTTCCGTTGGCCATTTGGACGCATCTGGCGCGCAATTTCGGAATGGACTCCGCCCTGGTGTGAACGTCTTGATAACCGAGTCTCCGTAGGCGAACACCTTGCCCTCCCAGCCCTCGCCAAGCACTTTCCAAGACGCCCGGTTTGCTATTAGCTCTTCTTCCAACTTCGAACTTTCGTCATCGGGTTGCCAAGATCGAGCTTGTAGGCCTCCTTCGTTATGAGAGTTGAAGTCGGTCGCAGAGTACTTTTCTGAGAGTGCTTGTCGACTAGTGAGGTACAGATGTTGTTGCTGGAATAGGGCAAGTATGAAGAATACAACAGCGACCCGGTAGCGCAGGTAGTATAGAGTCCGCGCGCTGTGTGGGACTGTGTTTAGGAGAAGGCGACCCATGGGTGCTGGTATAAGTCTCCGACAGAGAGATGAGAAGGAGAAGGAGTATGGCGCTCACTAAGCTTTGGAACTCATACTAAGAGAGTGCGCCTGCCGTGACTCTTGTAAAGCCGCAAGTGGCATCCCTCCAAGGTTCATGGAAAGTGCTACGCGCCAACGCATTGGAACGGTGAGCGAGTGCATTGCAACGACTCAAGCTCCGAGTGGCTCTCGCGGAGCCAAACGGCATCTCGGAACCAGCTGCCAGGCGCAAAGCTCTATTCTTGTTCTCCCTACTGCGCCCCTATGACGTTCAACTCCAAAGTCTTGGCCTATGAATGGCCAAGATGTGGCTTTTGAAGCGAGGAAGCAGGAAGTCGGGTAATATCATTCGGATGTCGGCTAGCAAAGTTAATCTCGAAGTCCCCAAGCTGTGGCGTCACAACGCAGTGACTTCCCGCATACCTAGGTAGTCTTTATTGGCTAGCCGTGGTGGCAACAACGGCTGTGTCCAGTAGTGTCCATGTGGGTCGATAGGTAGCCTGTGCTTAACTCCGATATTGGATCTATGCGACGAGATGTTGTTCTCAGCACTACTACCACAGCCACGCCCTGGTCGTGCTCTAAGGCGCACAGCCGTAACCCTAAGACCCTACCATATCTGGCTCACTATCCATGGGTGCAAAAGACTACAAGCTCGCGCGATTGGGGAGGCAAGTATCCCGAAGCAAGTTACTGGTGTTGTTGGTAGAAATGTGGGGTGACGTCAAGGATGCGCTGTCTCCAGCCTGGTAGCGTCAGGCACGAGGTTAGCGTGGCGCATGGATCAACAGATCTTTATCACCACTGAACCGGCTTCCAGGCTTTGCCGTGACATCCTGAATCCTTGCATCCTTCCGCACCTGCACCATGAGTTCCGAAACCCAGTTCGCTGAAAACAGGACCCGCTTGGTCTCCCACTTTGATGGCTACAGGTAAGGAGCGCCACGTGCCGCCACTTCCGTAGCCACAACTGACGGTTCCAGCACCCGGGATGCACAGAGCGACGGGTGGGCCAAACTGTGGGAACAGAAGGAACAGGATCTGTGGGATCGGGGCCAGGCCTCGCCTGCTCTGACTATGTTCCTTGAAGAACATCCTTATCGTGAGACGCTGTTCCGAGACCAGAGTCAACGGCAGTTGAAGGCATTTGTGCCTGTAGGTGTCTCGTAACGAGCGTACTTAACAAGAGGCTCATCGTGCATTAGGGCTGCGGTAAGGGGCATGATGTGGCGCTATTAGCACGTCATGGCTTTAGGACATGGGGTCTAGAAATTTCCCAAGGAGCAGTGGATACCGCCAACGAGAACGTCAAATCTCATCTAGATCCTTCAGCTGGCCATGTCGCTGACGTCGTGCTCGGCGATTTCTTCCAAAAGGGATTTGAGGCTCATTTCGGACCTAACTTCCAGGGTTTCGACCTAATCTACGACTATACAGTACGTCCAGCATGCAAAGAGTCAACCGACCTATATTCTCATAACGAGTGCTAATAATGTCGATTCAGTTCTTGTGTACCCTGCTCCCTGAGATGCGAAGAGATTAGGCCAATCGCATGAAGAGCCTTTTGTCGCCAACCGATGTTCTCGTGTACCTCGAATTCCCAATGTGGAAGCCTTTGAAAGCTCAAGGTCCGCCTTGGGGTCTGAACGGTGTACACTGGAATCTCCTAGCCGATGGTGCTGATGGCCTGTTCGACGACTCCGGCAATCTTCTCGGAACAGGAAAGGAGCAGGGCTCGTTCGAAAGGGTTGTGTATTGGAAGCCCCCGGTGTCTTTTAAACAAAGTCGCGGCGACGACATGATTAGCGTCTGGAAGTTGAAGCAATAAACGGCGAAGAAACTCAGAGACGTATTCATGCTATATCCGCATCGTCTGCGGCAATTTGAGAGATCACGGAGCACTTCAGTTGGCAAACGATGGTAGCACAATGATTGATCGGGGCTCGTTCGTATTGTATAAACGCTAAATTGTAACAGTTTACTGGAAAACAACCACCTCACATCCCGTCAGTCAGCATAGCCTCAATCAGCTGCACATGCCGGTTCGCATTCGTCTCGCTCCACTCAGTCTCATAGTTCAGGCCTGAATCATCGACGTGGCAAGTCAGTCTATGTTTCACGTACAGTTGGAACATCGCGTTTTTATCATACCGTATGGCCAGAAGTGTCCACCTCCGCAAGTAATTTTCGCATTTGCTCCATCGAAGCTCCTGATCAGGGGTAGTGCCGTGCGCCAGTCGCCTGCAGCACACTTTCTGTCAAAAGCCGCTGTCTGGCCAACTCCTAGCGTGTGGCTTATCTCATGCATCGCAGTCCTTTCCGTCATGTAAGCGCGGTTCGAGCCGAATCGTAGATCGCCGTTGTAGTTCGCCTCGGCAGTAGGAACACCCGGGGCGTAGGCCACACGAATCGTCTTGTTTGCGTCGGAGTACTTCTCGTAGCGAGCGACGGCCTTTGTCATTGCAGCTTCAATCTTAGTGTATGCGTCTCTTTGGTCGGCGGTGGGGTTGGTCGCTTTTGCCAAGGACCAGGTCAGGCGTGCGGAGGCGGTGCAGGCATACGCCGCGACGAGGAGAAGAGAGAACTGCATGATCGTGGGTGTAGTTATCTGGGTTGAATCAAGAGCTGTGGTTGTTGGCGCTGTTCAGGGCTTGCAGCGATTGAGGGCTGCTGCGGCATGCCCAATGATATACCATGTGTTATTCCATGGTAAATCTCCACCGCTGATTACCACGCACACCTTTACTGCTGTAGTGGCTGCAATTAAGGACGGTCGTTCGGCCTCATTAGGTAGGTGGGTTGATAAGCTAGGATATTGTCCCGCGCATAGGAGAGCATCGTTCAACCCTTTCCACTCGCGATGATTCGTATCCAGCCATGTATGCTACCTTCCTCTGGCGGCTGGGTCACGTTTAATGTACATTGTCTTGGTGTTGCGGCGTACAAGGGCTGAAACGTTCAAGCGTCGGAGAATTGATTGCATGTAGATAATGTCCCCGCACTCCGGAAGATTTCCACATCGGCAATGAGTGCGCTTCCCGCCTCCCTTACAGCCGCCATTGAGTGCCGGTTTCTAGTCGAATGTCTTCCTGCCGCTACCTTCTCTCTACTAGCGGCTGAAATCGTATCATTTATACCACTTGTGTCTGATTGTATCTGAGATGCTAGATGGGTCAACCTGATACTACCTAGGTGATCTCGACGCACAACATCTACCATTCTGCACATGGATACTAAAGACATTAATACTTGATGCAAAGGTACTGGCTAAATATGCCCTCGACCGTCAGAGACCTCTTTCCCTTATTTCAGACAATCTGGCTGCGCGAAGTAGAGCTTTCCACAACGTGAACTGCGTGTTGATATGTAGAAGCCAGTCTCGTTCCGAACTGGTTGTTGCCTCAATTGCTCTTAGGTATATTCATTGGCGAATATAGGCGGTAATAGGAGAGACTGAACCAAAACGTTTGATGGAAACGATATGTAGAGCCGACGCATACTAGGTATTTGATGCGAGGCGTAAGAAACCCAGACTTGTCCGAGTTCGGCAGACGCCTTGTCCGACCCACGCGGCTAATCAGGATGCATGGGAGTGGGACCAAACTCTGGGAAACTGACTTTTCTTCTGGCCAGACGATGGCCAGGCGATATTTCACGAGTGATACTCCAGTTTGGCAGGTCATAAACGATGAATTCGGCCAGTTTTCCATCAAGCAGTCCAGTTCTCTGGTCTCCGCCTCCGCATCGGTGGTTTAGTGGTAAAATTAGCCGTTGCCATCCCTCACAGGACAGTTTCGGCTAGCCCCGGGTTCGATTCCCGGCCGATGCAACGCTTTCTTTTTGCATTGTCTCGCTTCTTTTTGGCGTTAGAAACACTGTAGATGTTGTGGTGGTGGAGTTGGGTCGGAAAGAGCGACCCGTGCGCGTTCCACAGCCAGCAGACCTTCTTTTTGCCTGACTGCGCCACATGCACCGCCACGCGCCCACCTCGCGTTTGAGACCCGCCATCTCTTTTCAGCTACGCGCCCACCTCGCGGCGATGGCTCATAATGCGTTGGCACACCGCGTCCGCAGCGTTGGTCTCGACAATCGAGATTCACTGGCCGGCGCTGCTCCTCAGAGTAACTTTCGCTTCACGTGGCGGTGAGGCTGTGAACGGGCGCGAGATTCACACCAGTCTGGGCTTTGTATTAGCGATTTGTCCTCGACTTTAGTCCTACTGTCTGCCCAGCAATCACGGGTTGCCCTCCTACAACTACACCAACATGTTCACGGGAACGACACCAGAATCGCTCATCCCGCGCTCGGATTCGCGCAACCCGGCTACAACTTGCAAAGGCATTACTAAATCAGGGCGACCCTGCAGACGGCCTATTGATGCGAAAGCATCTAATGACGACGGTGTTATCGCTGTAGTATCCGTTGTTAGCGACGACAGCGACGATGACGAGATTGGCGCCGCCGCCTACTTCTGCTGGCAACACAAAGACCAAGCCGAGCATTTGGCTGCGCAAGCATCGAGTGGACCGACTACCCAGCTTTACCCGCTGAAAGAGAGGAACAGTATCGACACGCTCGTGGAACGACTGGGTGTCCTTGATTTTGGAGAACCGGATGAAGCCGCGCCCAAGAAGAGTGGAAGGAGAAGAACATCTGGATCTCGTCCGCCGCGGCGCATCAATCGACCAGCTACCTGGGATAACGTAGAAGGGCCGTTGATGTCTGTACCGAGCGATGTCATGGCAGCAAGAAAGCGCAGAGACCATCGGCCGCCGAAGCCACCTCCACAGAGGAAAAAGAAGAGTTTTTGGGCTTCATTATGTTGTGGGTCTGCAGACGACGACGAATACACGGAGGTCGTGCGGCACAAGAGAAGGACAGACGAAAAGCCCATATCGGAGGACGATGCACAAGAGACAACTATGCAGCAAGTACCACAGCAACCGCCTCGAGTACGACCAGAACACCGAAGGCCGAGCGGTCAGACCTCGAGACCTTCGTCTTCCTCGCGACCACCTCCCACATCGCGACCACCAAGTGACCAACCTGCCCGCAAACCACTGGGAGAAAAGCCCGCTCGACCTGTCAATCGGACAACTCGCGAAGAGTCAGAAACAGCCAAGCTACTCCGCTACATCCCCAATACATTACCACCACAACTCGCGTCGACCCTGCTCGCCCAACTCTCAAAGCCCATTTCACCCCACGACGAAGAAGGCTACATCTACATCTTCTGGCTCACCCCCGAAGCCGCCGGCCCTGCACCATCCTCCGCTGCGTCGACGCTTCTCTCACCACCATCACGTGCAGATCAAAGCCGGCGAACTTCAGATGTCATGCGCCAATTCTCCGTCAAAGGCGGACAGCCCAACACCACCCGCTCAAGATCCGGATCCGCAAACTCCCCACCAGACAAAGACACCATCCTCCTCAAAATCGGGCGCGCAAACAACGTCCACCGCCGTATGAATGAATGGACTCGCCAGTGCGGATACAGTCTATCCCTCGTGCGGTACTATCCCTACGTTTCTTCTTCCACGCCCTCTCCTCAGCCCTCGCCTGCACAGTCTCGGCGCCAATCAGGTGCGAATGCCGGGGCTGCCTCTGATGGCGTGAGGAAAGTGCCGCATGCGCATCGTGTGGAGCGCCTGATTCATCTCGAGCTTGCGGATCAGCGTGTCATCAAACAGTGCGATGCTTGTGGCAAGTCGCATAAAGAGTGGTTTGAAGTCGAGGCTACGAAGGAGGGGGTGAAGAAGGTGGATGAGGTTGTGAAGCGGTGGGTTGAGTGGGCTGAGAACAACAATGAAGGATAAGCGGGATATTGCTAGGGAGTTGGGACGCTGAATTGTGATTACAGAGCCCAGTTAGACGTAAATTGTTAGATTACCAAGAGGTATAAGTAGTAAAGCAGCTTGATTGCACATGAGTATGTATCCCAGATGCTTGCTCGAGAACTACTTTGGCCGGATTGACGTCACCAACAACATTGTGTGATTATGTAGAATGAGGAAAATTTCATTGGGGAATTGGGTATCTTGTGTAGCTATCGCAGCAATCAAACAATCAGGAGCACCAGAGGCTCATCTTCTTCGCTAAACTCCCGATATCCGCGGGTTCAGAATGCGACACAGTTATGGGGGTTGCCCGACATAGCGGACACTGTACAACGGAGCTTTTAGCAGTGGTAGTGGTGGCGAGGGATAAGGGGGTGAAGCGCGGTCGATCTTTCAGGTGTGCGAATCCATAACTTTTCCATCCTTTTCGTCGCATTCAGTGACGATTGGTGTCCCCCAGCGGTGTTGAACCTCCTCTTACTCGTAACATCGTCCATGGGTGTATATACAGTGGGTTTATTACTGCACTCGGTGCCGTGGTGTTGGTATCAGAAAAGACCGATGCGCGGCCGCCAGTCGTTCTCGTTGACAGACTTTGGGTTGACGACGATCTGGTAAGGGAAGGGGTTGGCGTCGGTGGTTGTGATGGGTGGGATGTGGTCTTTTTCTCGGTTCACAATGGCGATGATCTTATGCGCTGCCTTTTCCAGAGACTTGGTCATGGCACGGCGGACCTTGAGCACATCTGACACTTTGTTAGTGGCGTGCGTTGCAACAAGCAGAGAGACATACCAGTTTCTGTGCGTGGCTGGGCAAGGGTAACATCCAGCGTCCACTGCTCCCAGCAAACGTCCTCGTCCGCCTTGCTGAAGAAGTACGATGTCTTTTTTCGCTTCTTCTCAAAGAACTGCACGACAATCTGCCCCCTTCCTCTCGGCTGGTGCGTGCTGTCTATCGCCCGAACTAGCGCAAACGTCTTCTGTTCGATAAGTGTCTCGAGATCGACATCGTCGATGGCGGGAAGGGTCAGGTCGAGGAGGTCGCGGGTCAAGGGAGAGATGGACGTAAAGTAGCGGTGGAAGAATATCGTGTGCAGTATCGCTGGGGTCAGGTCAACTATGGTCTACAGGGTATTCGGGGCGGGGAGACGTGTAGTGGGGGAGAAAGTTGCGCCGATCTCCACGCCAGAGACACGGTGGAAGAGAATAGACTCACCCTTGACGACATCCTTCACGCACGCCGCGTCGGCGAAGATCTCGAGGTTGTACTCTGGCCGCCTCCTAGGTTCCATGCTGGCATCAACAGTCCGGAAGCCCGAAGCGCGTGCTGAAGACCGGGTAATGCGCCGCGCGGCGTTCTGGGGCGAGCGTGTCGCAACGAGGCGCTCAAAGGCTGTGGCCGTCGGCGGTGCTGGCGTCGCAGTAGCAGTCTCGTGGCGGTAGGCGGGGCTTTGCTGGCGGGTTCGTCGTGGGTGCAAGAAGTACGGAGCTGAAGATTTGGGGTTGTGCGGGGCAGGAGCGGACGAACACGACGACGGAAACTGAGAAGGAGCGGCCGGCATGCGTGAGATCATCAAAGAAGCACAATCCTGGCTGGGCACCATTTTCGCCTAACCCACGCCTATCAGCGCCTGTTGACTGCATAGCCCATGGAGCCCTACAGCTATTTGTAGCCCGTCTCAGCCACAGCCCAACATGACACCCTCTGAGACACGATGTCAAGATTCGCACATGAAAGTGTCATCTGCCTTGGCCGTCTGAATCACCACCTCGTCACGTCTGACAGACCACCGCGGCGTGACTGGCACGGGGAGGCAGCAAGTATCCGCTTACGAACGGGCCGCGAACATCCCTCAGGTTCCAGGTTCCAGGGGCGCTAGCATAGTCGGCAAGGCTGCTTGACATAATCCTGCATGACCAAATCTAGTCGTCGAAGCGAAGAAATGTCTCGCATGCATATAGCCTGGACCACCAGTTTGCATGCTGCGTGTTGTGGTAGTGTGCACGCATGCATGCGACGGGGTGGCCAGTCGAAGTAGACGAGAGCGTGCACCTGGTGTACGATGCTTCCAAGCGTCCAAGGCCCGGGGTTGTCAGGCACGATCACATGTCAATGTGATTGCCCAGAATGCATGGTTGTGGCTTCCTGCCGCCTTGTCGACAGTATTGCTGCCTCCAGTGAATACCAGAATCAAACGCAAGTAGCAAAGACTAGAAATGCAAAAAGTCACTATGAGCCCACGGCTTGCGGAAAGAATCCGAGTCCTCGACCGTTCGGAAATAAGCTTTGAGGTTGAGCCTCAACCATCGCGCCAAGCCCAAGTCGCGCAAGTCGCGTCACCCTCCTGCCCGACCAACAACCCAACGAACAGAACATGGTCGGCACAAAGCGCAGACGCGACGAAGACGATGTCGACGAGGGCACACCGCAGAAATCACGCGCACGATTCGCTGAAGAGGCTCACGATGAGCTAGAACCCCTCGAAGCGCAGACACCATCCAGAAAGGGGAGGACACAACATCTGGCCGAGCATGGGACGCCCCGATCCATCTTGAAAAAGACTGGTCTGGTGAACGGCATCACCGCGACGCCCAAGTCTACCCGGAAGCTGGTCTTTGAGACGCCTACCAAATCCGCAAAACGAGACTCTCCGAATGGCACGCCCACCATCGTTCGCAACGCCGATCGCAGCGCGCGCAGAAAGAGCAATCGCCGTATACTGGAACGCACACTGAATGGCGACGAAAGCGATGAAGATGCGCTGGATGAGGAGGAGGACCTCGCCGAACACATCTTAGGAGAAGACACAGAGGACGCGGAGCAGGCCGAGGAGGGAGTGGTACAAGACGAAGCACCTGTACCAGAGACACCCTCGAAGCGTGGGAGAGGCCGACCTAAGGGGTCAGGAAAAGTAGGGCGGCCACGAAAGCAGCGCTCGCCGACACCTCCGACTGAGCTGCCACCGCACGAGGAGTACTTCTGGCAGAATCGCCCAGGCGGCACCAAAACCTCCAACAACACTCTCTCTGCGCAGAGCCTGTTGAATCACGATGAATACTTCTCAGCAATGCAAACGTACGAGGACCGCCACCAGTCTGAACGAGAGTTCTTGCTTGATTTGCATGGCCGAGCATACGATCAATGGATCTTCGAGCTGGAGGAAGGTTTCAACATATGCCTCTATGGGTACGGATCGAAGCGCATCATCACCGAACGATTCACCGCACGCCTCTATCAGTCTCTCCTAGACGCTGCGCCGTACAAAGGGACAAAGAAGTCACCGAAGATTGTGGTTATCAACGGATACACAGCTGGCACAACAGTAAAAGACTTGCTGTTGACTATAGCATCGGCAGTCATACCAGCCGGACCAAAGTTGCCCAATCAGCCCGCTCTGCTACTCGATTTCATCCTCGAACACCTCGCCAGCAACCCGCCGCCGCATCCAGTACCCGTCATTCTGAATTCCATCGACTCGCCCTACCTTCGAAAGTCTCCAGTACCTTCCATGCTCGCCCGCCTAGCTGCACATCCATCAACCAACCTTGTGTGTACAGCGGATACACCGAACTTCCCTCTTCTGTGGGATGTAGGCATGAAGACACAATACAAATTCCTCTTCCACGACGCAACAACCTTTGCGCCCTACGACGCGGAGATAGACGCGGTAGAGACTGTGAATGAGCTCCTCGGACGCAGCGGAAGACGAGTAGGCGGAAGAGATGGTGTCGGCTTCGTCTTACGCTCTCTACCGGAGCAAGCTCGAGAACTGTTCCGCATCCTCGTCATGGAGCAGCTAGCACTCTCACTCATGGAAGGCGGTGATATGGAGGAAGAAGACGAGGTTACTGCTACACCGAGGTCGAAGAAGGTCGCACAAGTCAAGAACGTTCTGCCAGAGTCTACCCAAGGCGTTGAGTACCGCGTGTTGTACCATAAGGCTGTCGAGGCCTTCGTTTGTACAAGTGAAGTCAGTTTCAGGACGCTGCTCAAGGAGTTCCACGACCATCAGATGATAGAGAGTAAGAAGGATGGTATGGGTACGGAGAGACTGTGGGTACCTTTCAGACAGGAAGAGCTAGAGGGTCTCGCGGAAGATCTCGCTGGAGAGGCGTTTTGATTTGCGCACCCCGTTCGACGAAGAAGTTGAACACCTACACCACCCTCCTACAAAGAATGAAGGGGGTACATGATCCGGGCGTCTACATTGCGTCCAAAACTTGTCAAGTTTCGTTCTGACACCAACGTACACTTCAGGGCGTTCGATTCGTTCTTTATATGCGGTGGGCGTATATCCTTAATTACATTGTACAACATATTTTCATGATATTGCGATGCCATTTCCCTCACTTCCAGCGACCTTGCTGGGTTCAAGACTAGAACAAGGTTAAAGCAAAAAGAGCGAGGACGTTTCACAGAGAGCAAAAGTCTGACAGACAGAAAAAAGAATGTCAGTGGTCACTACGAAGTTTGAACCCGCGATCCGCCACCGTCGTCCTGCGGATCTTTCACCTCGATCTTGAGATCAAGTTTGACATAGTATTCTGACAAAAAGGCAAAAAGAAAGGACTGGTAATGGTCACTACGAGGGTCGAACTCGCGACCTTGGCGTTATTAGCACCACGCTCTAACCAACTGAGCTAAGCGACCGTGTTATCGGATGATTGATGGAAGGTTGAAGAATTGCGGCAGTCATGAATGCGATGGAAGTGGTGGTATTAGCAGAAATCAACAGTGCAGTTGCTAGACGCGGGGTCGGAGCAAGTTTGCAACTTCCTCGCTGAAAACCAGAACTCACTTAGCTGATTTTCTCGGCCCCACCTACGCGATAGAGCAAGAGCGCATTGCGACTTCTCGATACTCGTTAAACGGGAACGTCATTTGTGAACACAGCCGATGGGCTACACACCTTAGTGCCGCAGTAAGGCTCTTGGTTGTGGTGTCCATTGCTGTATCTCTGAGCAGAGAAGTGAGCGCACCTGTGAAGAAATTACTTGCGAAGCCTCACATAAGGAATAAACTGTCGAGATGAACGGGTGCCTGCAGTCTACATGAATCTCAAAACAGACGCTTACTTGAAGCTGGATGCAATGTAGACTTCTAGGTCATCGACTTTTAGCAGTTGTCCAGTTTCTTCCTTGACTATGGTGGTTGGACGTTTGGAAGCTACGGGATGCGAGTATGAGCATTCTCTCTTTACCACGTCACATCTATGTTTACCTGCGGAGAGTTCATGAGCGATAGACAAGACGGCGAGCACTTCAATATATAGCTACTTTATCACCGTGACTCAACAAGACATGTATCATATCTCTCGAAGTATTTGATCAACGTGAAGATGCTTCGCCTACTACGAAAACAACCTTTGCTCCTCCGATACAAATATACAAAGATACCGCAACGTCTAGAAAAACAAGCCGCCCAAAATGAATCTAGACTTCCAAGTGCCATTGCCTCATGGACTCCAGACTGCACTAGCGGCTGGTGTGCATACCGAGCATGAGCATGTGGCGCTGCCTAGATGGGTCACCAGGACCCCTCGTTGCCACTCCCACAAGCCGAACCTATTCCTCCAAGTCATGCGCTGTAAGCCTTGCAGTGGTGCCATTTTGAGAACTCGATCGCCCGAATAGAATTGCGATGCGATCCATCTGTCAAGGCAAGGTCTGCGCTTGGTAGCGCCCACGGCCAGAAGCGTGTTTTCGGGTCAGCCACCTAGAATTATGGTCGGGTATTCCGCTTGTGGGTATGTCCATTCGAAATCGACAGAGGCTGCTGTACTGTGGTCACCATGTGCAGGTGATCGTGTTGCGGTCGAGGATTCTTTGTTGTTTGCTTTGCTTGAGGCTCCGATGGCACATCGACACCGGGGCAACCCGCAGTCATCTCCACATGACGTCCTCGAGGGAAAAGCTGCGGTTGAATGGCTGGTACGCTGGTAGACAGAATACCGGAAAATAGTTCCCTCTATCGTGGCCTGGATCAGCATGCGGAGCCCGCCCCGGCATTAGCGCGCCACCTTCCCGTGGCAGATCCCAGCTGTGATCACGATCCGTCGCTCTTTTAGACGACTATGATGCTATGTCAGCCACCTTTTTACTGCTTTAGGTTCGACGTTGACCTAAGTCCAGATCTTACCGGTAAATCTTCAGCATAGCTGAGGTAGTTCGAGATCCAGGCGTGTGGCCGTCGCGTCAACGGCTGAAGCATGACGACACTTCGCTTTGACCGTCTGAGTAGCCGTTAGCTGTAGCATCACCAAACGACTACTTGGGTCGTGATGTGGACTTGTATTCTCATCGACAAGTAGATTGCGTCTCCTCTTCTTTAACTTTCCCATATTTCTTCTTTTTGGCGTGATAGAAGTCTTACTTTCATTTCTGGACTTTCACCTTTCCATCTTCTCTGGCGCGGGAGCCATACTATCGCCATGAATATCAACGTAGGTAGAACCCAATGGCAACATTGTGATGTGGGACAATGCTAATGCTTTCGTGACAGGAACCCGTCCAGGGCAAAGCCTTTGCACTACCCTTCACGAAGGCTGCAGACCCTAATGCCAACCTCACCGATTCAGAGATGCGTCTGCCGTTATTGAGCCGCGTACCCGACAACATTCGTAACCACTTCATCGCCATGTGCGGAGAATTTGTCGGCACTGTCCTGTTTCTATACTTTGCTCTGTCCGGTGCACAAGTCGCAAACAGTATACCGTCGTCGGGAGGCCAGACGGTAGCGGAGGCTGGCAGCAATCCCCAACAGCTGCAGTATATTGCGCTTTGCTTTGGCTTCTCGCTTGCTGTGAACGCCTGGGTCTTCTTCAGAATCAGTGGAGGCTTATTCAATCCGGCCGTGAGTACCTCCTCTGTCTCGCGCTGTTACTCTACCAGTTCGCTAAGACTGGTTTAGGTCACATTCGGCATGTGCTTGATCGGTGCACTCCCCTGGGTACGCGGTGCTCTATTGTTCGTCACTCAGATCCTCGGAGGTATGGCGGCAGCTGGTCTGGTCCAGTGTATGTTTCCGGGTGATCTGAACGTTCGAACGAAACTCGGTGGCGGTACTTCTATTACGCAAGGTCTTTTCATTGAGATGTTCCTTACTGCCCAGTTGGTCTTCACCATCTTCATGCTGGCAGCTGAGAAGCACAAGGGAACCTTCATCGCACCCGTGGGTACGTCAATAGACCCTGCTTGGGTTACATGGCTGTTGCTAACATCTTGAATAGGTATCGGTCTCGCTCTGTTCGTTACAGAGTTATCTGGAGTATACTTCACAGGCGGATCCCTGAATCCCGCACGATCGTTTGGGCCTGCCGTCGTCAACCTTGAGTTCACGCATTACCACTGGATTTACTGGCTAGGACCCATACTCGGATCCATTATCGCGGCCGGGTTCTACAAATTCATCAAGATTCTCGAATACGAGACTGCCAACCCAGGCCAGGATATGGACCACGCTGCCAAAATCGAGAAGAAGAAGAACTTGCTGCTTGCCGCCGGTATCAACGAGTACGACGCTCACCAGGTGGCTACAGAGCTTACAGAGAAGGCCGCTGTTGCCGATGCCGGTGGTCCGGATGGTGGAGTTGTCGCCAATGGCCAAGGTCAACGTGACCCACAGTACGTTCCTCATGTCGGCATGTACGGAACGCAATTCCGTTCGAACTCTGATATCAGCAACAAACGCGGGTCTGGTAGCTCCGAATCAGGGGTTTTACCATCGCCGCAACGTCCGACTGCTGTGACTACAGGTAGCCAGGTTGGGAGGTTCAGCTACCTAGGTAGTCGCGGTGCCGTACCAGGCAACTCTGCCCAGATCAACGCTCTGAGGAGAGAGAGCAGACAGGATAGCCCTGCTATGACGACGAACGACGAGCTTTATGCTCCCCTGCAACACGGCGCCGACGTACCTCTTGGAGGTGCTGTCCTTGAGACTGAGCCTAGGCAACGAGTCAACAGGACGCCATCGAGCTTTGCATGATGATAAGAGTATGGTAATGAGTACAATTAAGAAGCGCGACCGGATACCCTCAAAGTAACATAGCGCGTTTTGTTGCAGCGATTTTGTCTAGCGTTCCTGTACATAATGAATCGATTCGTGGTCATCTCGACGTTAAATACTTCATGGTGATGTTTCTCCGACAAGGCGGCCGATACCTCGTAGCGCTCAAGACTGAATTGCGTCCGATGTCACCGTTGTGGATCACGGGTCTGGCAAAGCCATTCGTGCTCCTTGAGTACGAATGCAAGAATTCGAAAACAAATTAATGAGATCGGGTTGAGGTTTGGGGCGCGCCTCGATGGAGCAGATGAGTGAGTTAGTGGGAGAGTGACCTTCAGCGTTGCTGAAGTCTGGCAAGTTGAAGCGATCACACTAGTACAGACGCGACCTAGCTCCGAATAAATCCCAGGTGCCCACCCCCACCCGTGACTTCCACATCCAGAGTCTGAGTCCTCAAGATTCGCCATCTACAAACCGCAAACACCAAACAATAAAATCTGCCCACCATGGCGACTATGACGGTGACAGAGACGCAGCATAAGAGGAGGCTACCAAAGAATGTCAAATTGCCACCCGAGAATGAACGTTACATGCGTGCGTGCGCAGATATCGCCTCAGCGCTCATTCAGGACTATGAATCCCAGGCCGACGGTTCAAAACCTAAAAAGGACCTGAACCTGAACTCGCTACGGGGGCAGATCGCGAAGAAGCACTACCTTAAGAGCCAGCCTCCGCTCACGGCGATTATCGCGGCTGTGCCTGAGCACTACAAGAAATATATCCTCCCAAAGCTCATCGCCAAGCCGATCCGTACGTTGCCCTCAATGATATTGCATAATTATAGTGAGACTGATTTACTTTATAGGTACATCATCTGGTATTGCAGTAGTGGCGGTCATGTGCAAACCTCACCGGTGCCCACACATTGCCTACACTGGTAATATCTGTGTGTACTGTCCAGGAGGTCCAGACTCCGACTTTGAGTACTCAACACAGTCCTACACAGGTTACGAGCCAACATCTATGCGCGCTATTCGAGCGCGATATGATCCTTACGAGCAGGCTCGTGGACGAGTCGACCAGATCAAGTCGCTCGGTCACAGTGTCGACAAAGTTGAGTACATCATTATGGGCGGCACATTCATGTCACTACCAGAGTCATACCGGGACGAGTTCATCTCACAACTACACAACGCGCTTTCGGGATATCAAACCAAAGACGTTGACGAGGCTGTTGCCGCCGGTGAGATGAGTAACATAAAGTGCGTTGGTATCACCATCGAAACACGACCAGATTACTGTTTGGATCAACATCTTTCCTCCATGTTACGCTACGGATGTACGCGTCTCGAGATCGGTGTACAGTCCCTTTACGAAGATGTAGCGCGCGACACGAACCGAGGCCACACTGTCGCCGCCGTAGCGAAGACCTTCTGTCTCTCCAAAGACGCTGGTTTCAAGGTTGTTTCACACATGATGCCAGATCTTCCCAACGTCGGGATGGAGCGTGATCTCGATCAGTTCGTAGAGTACTTCTCGAACCCAGACTTCCGCACTGATGGACTCAAGATCTATCCTACACTCGTCATTCGCGGCACAGGACTCTACGAACTCTGGCGGACAGGAAGATACAAGAACTACACACCAAACGCTCTCATCGATATCGTTGCCCGCATCTTGGCCCTAGTACCGCCATGGACGCGAATCTACCGTGTGCAGCGCGATATTCCCATGCCGCTTGTCACATCCGGTGTTGAGAATGGTAACTTGCGAGAGTTGGCGCTGGCAAGGATGAAGGACTTCGGTACCTCGTGTCGCGATGTACGGACGCGCGAAGTCGGCATCAACGAAGTGAAGCACAAGATCCGCCCCGATCAGGTCGAATTGGTACGTCGGGACTACACGGCTAACGGCGGTTGGGAGACATTCCTCGCATACGAAGACCCGAAACAGGACATCTTGATCGCCCTGCTTCGTCTACGACAATGTTCGAAAGAACATACCTTCCGGCCAGAGTTGACTGGCCAGCCCTCTTCGCTGGTACGCGAACTGCACGTCTACGGATCTGCTGTCCCTATACATGCAAGAGACCCGAAGAGGTTCCAGCATCAAGGTTATGGTACGCTTTTGATGGAGGAGGCAGAGCGGATAGCCAGGGAAGAGCATGGAAGCAGTAAGATCAGTGTTATCTCTGGTGTTGGTGTGCGAAGTTACTACGGCAAACTGGGTTACTGGCTTGACGGCCCGTACATGAGCAAGACGCTCGAGCCGCTGTGGGAGAGGGACTGGTAGATGGGAACTTCGTGGCTGGCGCTTTTTGGCGTTCGTGCATGGATCGGACCTGATGCTTCAATTGACAGATATGCAGGGCTCATGCACATGTACAGATAGCATATATTACGCTAATCCAATGTCTTGCTACGGAAATGTATGAACCCGCCTGTGCCCGCTGAACGCCGTGTCTCATATTACAATGTACAAGTGCCTCTGCCTTTCCTCCACAGGCGCAATGACGCATGCCTGTCCCGATGCCATCTTCGCATCCAAAGATTCTCTAGATGACTTCTCGTCTTATCTTGCCGCTCAACCGTGTTTCGCACCCTGTTCAAGATTATGACAGGCTTATCGCGCCGCGACGGCTTTCGCGCATGTGGAGGAAGGCCTGCAGACCGCAGAAGACAAAGAAGCCCTGGAAAGACGTTAGCTAAGTGCGATACTCTCTTTTGATTCCAACGTACAATGTATATGAAGACGGCACCGAATACCGCGCCGGCAACTGCGCCACCATCCTCGGGGTCTTCATGTCCTCCCATTACGGTACCGCTGTGTCCCTGCGAGTTGCGCATTAGCATCAGTTCTGCTTTACAGTTCTCATAACCAGTGGCGACTGTGGATTCGAAGGTGTTCGTCCTTGTCGGGACCATGGGCAGGAGGCAGACGTACTTTGAACAGAGCTCCGATCGTGGAGAGAATGACGATGGCAAAGAGCGACACGACGATGCTAGCACTCCGTTAGCTTCCTTGCTATTCCTTCTTCCCTAGATTGTTTGGCGCATACCACGTCCATGCATTCATCGCGGAAACAACGGGCTTCACCATGATGGGCGACTTGGAGCTTCGGTATCGCGCGGCGGCGGGTAGCTTATCGGCGGCGGTGGCGGCGCTTCGATCGTGGTATCGTCGAGTGGTTCGCTACCTGTACCGGTGATGTAGATGATGTCGTAGGAGGAGATGGGGCTGGGAGGTGGTCGACGTCGATGGTGCGGCGCTGGATGAGGTGCCTGAGCCTGGAATCGTCATGTCTTGCGACGCCTGCCGATGCGCGTGGGTCCGTGCACCGCATCTGATGCAGGTGAACCGGGAACTTCCCGAACATCGACATTCATTCCATTCCCCATCGACGCCGCAAAACCCTCATAGAACGGCTCGCCATCACAGTTCGCGCTACCTTCGAAGCTGAATACAGATATCATGTCTCACTAGGCTGGACAACATAACTTATTGTACCATCATCGCGATAACGGAAGACGGCAACGGACTAGAAACCTGGCTTCACCACACTCAACGACGCCCATCAGCTCTTGGACTCCATCCACGCCCGCATACATAAGCTCCTCATCTATTGTCCTGAGAGCTCAAGATGGATAGTAGCGTTGATACCTTTCGCTTCCTCGATCTTCCCAAAGACATCCGGTTATTAGTATACGATTACTTGCAGCCCGAGAGTCACTTGGTATCGATTTTTGGAGACCACCGTTGCCTCTGGTATACCAAATTGAGGCCTTCCACAGCACTATTATTAGTCAACCGCCTTCTGTGCGACGAGATCAGAGCCTACTTCCGCAACGGCTTCCCAGGGCAACCTATCACGCTTGTCGCCGTGGAGGGACATGGCACGTTTGCACTGCGCTTTCTAGAAGCTCTCACCTCGGGTCATCACTTGGATACGCTGTCCAAAGAGAACCATGGCGACGCCGGCATGCCTGTCGAACTCTCCAAGTTTACGCAGATGATACCGACCCGTCAACTGAGGATGCGTGTTCAGAGTATCGATCAAACGCGTTGCGAAAGTAAGACGTCCCCACTTACTGAATTCGACGATACAACGCTCCAGAAAGTCTATCGTCTCTGTGTGCTAAGAATGCGCAAAGAGACACACTTTCAGTTAAGAGTTCTGTTCCCAAGCGGGAAAGTAAAAGGCGACAGGGATTTGCGCTACTTACTCACGGGAAGAGCCAATACTCACCCGGAAGACGTTCGTTCATTTGAGGTGACTGTGATCTTTACGGCTACACCGCCACCCGATGCTATTCCGTCACGGGCTGAGATAGGGATAATATATGGAGAGAGTGCTATTGATGCGAAGAACATTAAGCTGCAATCGGAGGCCATGACAGAGCAGGAACTCGACGTTTGGCGAACCGGTCGTTTCTACAACTACGATGACTACCACGACAACCACGACAACCACGACTGCCACACCTACCACAACTACTACTGAGAGCTTTGGACATAGTCTTCGTGATGATATGGGTTATCTTGTCCCGTTTTGACCACGGCTGGATCTTGGCTTTATGACCTGATGCAAGTCTGAGTAAGAGGAGGTATAGCTGCATTCGCACGCGCTAGGTCTCCAGTCTGAAAACTGTGAAACCTGGGAACTCTGAATGCCTTTGTAGCGATCGCATAGAATGCTGAGTTGTGGATTCGTAGTGTTAACCAATCTTTTGATACTGGTCACATCCAACGCTGGGCTTGATGAACAACTCTTCTCCGTCCCCACTATGTGAATATCCCATAAATTCTGCGAACGGTCTCGGCGTGCAGCCGTGAGAGCAGCTCTTTTTCTTCAACGCCCTGTTTGCTTGCCATCCTAGTGATCAGATCCGAGCAACCTTATCAAAGTTCCCGCCATGCGACCAGGTCCTGCTCTGTTGCCATATGCCAATTCACAAGGCGGATCTGGGATTCGGTTCATTGATCCTATAACTGGGAAGTCGGGTATCTTCCTTAAATCATTATCGCAGCCCTGGTTGTGTTGGTCGGGCTCTTCCGAGTTGGGATATCATGGTCCGCATGTAGGCGAGTTCTTTAGGTGTGGCCAGTTCCGTGGGCACACAATCGCCAGCCGGAGACAGTTCTATTTGTGAAAGAGAATCTTGAGTAGCGTGACTGTCGGGGACTAGGACAAAATTGCATCGTGTGTTTCCTTGCCTGGATACAGCCTTGTTCATGGGCTCTGCTCGATCGCTACCAGAACTCATAAGTGCAAGGTTGTTTGCCCCTATCAAGAACCGGTATTCTACGTGAGCATTGTGCCGTAGCTTCCTCATAGCGAATTCGAAGTAACTCCGAGTGAGTAACATCCCCCGTTTCCGCTCACGACCGAAGAAGTATTTTCTTGTACGAGAGTAGAAAAAGAATTGATGGAGCAATCTGATGGGGCTTTTTAAAACCGAGTCGGACACATCTGCGTGCTCGAATGCAGCTGCATTAATGCGCTCTTGTAATATATGTTGTTGATCAGAGTCGTAAGCCATGGATAGTGTGCGAGAAACATCTCCCACATGGTTGAATGATTTGATAACGTAGATTACAAGCGGTCCACCAAGACGCTGTTGGCGCGTCGCCACTCGTGCTTCGTCCCTGAGCTGGCGTGACGCTTGGGCGACTGCCGGATCTATTGTGACCACCTCATAGGCAATCCCCATTTCCGGGAAAGATAAAGGCTTGATGCGCCGATTGAGTAGGTGTTCATAGATCAGGAATCGGATGTCTTTGGGAAGATCCATGAAGCGAAGGAACGTTGCGAGAGGTATAGCGTCGGGGTCATGTTCTTTGGCGACACCAGATGGCTCGCGCGCGATCCGGGCATGCGTGGAGAGATCTTCTGAAGTGAACATGGCGTTATTGATTAGTCGAAAACCTCTATTGAAAGTATAGCAGATCTTCTTGCTTCACGCGTCTTCGGACTTGCGGCGAAACATTCAGCGCTAGTCCGTAAACGGATGAGATGGCAGCCTGGAATCGATCACGTGCTACCGTCTTCAGCACGCGACGCGACTTCCCCACCCACATCGCACCTGCATGACAAGCTTGCAGTGATTGTTATACATTCCCGAGACAGTGTTGTACAGCAGACGCCGTTTGCGCACTTGTCTCTCCGAAGCCCTGCAATCCTTGCTTTTCTGCGACCTTGTCCCTGAATTTGCCACCTGAGGCGTGAACGCGCGACGGGCTATCGGCGCGAAAGGGCCAGGGGTATCTACCCTTCGACAATTAGTGCTTCTTATCATCTCACCCCTCCGTCGAAGTTACAGTGTCTCGTTCAATCCGTTCATCAGTGTTCGCTGCGCGTTCCTCGATCGCTGTCGCATTTTCACTTGCTTTTCCTTTCACCAATTTATCATAATGGCGCCCCGGCGATCGACCCGCAAGTCGACTGGTGTCGCGAATGACGTCGCCACCGCATCTTCCCCAGCGCCGACAACTGGTATGTACAGGCTGACTTTGGCTCTCACTTTTGCTTAACAAGTGAATGCTGTGCATCAATCTTGCGCTAACGCGATTACAGCCCCAGCAGACTCCTCCGTGGCTGATAGTCGCCACAAACAGAAGCGCCTTCGTACCTCTCGATCTTTCATCCCCGACTCTTCTGACCACGAGAGCGAAACCATCGAGCCCGAGGTGCCTCAATCATCCGCCAGCGCCCGCCGCGTGTTGAAAGAAGTTAGAGTCCCCGCCATGAAGTCCAAGAAGGCGCCCGCCACTCGTGGACGACTAGCAGGGCTCAACGCGCAACAAGCAGGACAAGAGAGTTCAACCGCCTCACCTTCCCTGGAGAACTCAGACTACGAAACACAAGGAACCAGCATCTCGACTACGCCAGCTGCGTCAGTCAGTCGTGGCAAGAAGCCTGCCCGTAGTCGGCTGAACAATGCTACGACGCCTTCGCAGAGCACCTCATCCAAACGATCTCGCACCGCCGTATCAGACTCTGGCTCTGAATCCGATAACTGGGCGCTCGACATGGACGCTGAGATCGCTTTACAAATGCAGTTGGAGGACGAAATGGATGCGCCACACAGCAAGCGCCAGAAGATCAAGGACGAGGAGGACGAGGAGGACGAGGAGGATGAGGACATGCTTTCCGAGGATGAGCCCATCGCGCCTTCGCGTCGCAAGAAGGCGCCCTCATACATTGGCAAGGGCAAGGGCAAAGCCAAGGTCGAGGAGGTCTTCAGCGATGACGACGCAGATTCAATGACAGCTGTTCTGTCGTCAGCACCATC